ACAAAAACTCCTTTTATCGTGTCCCATTGCATTTATTTAGGACGCAAATTAGCCTTAAATAAGCATTTAAGCTTGATCATCAGATGTTGATCTGGCAACCTGTGTTTGCGTGTGTTTTGATCCAGGAATGCAATACCTATTTCAACCACTTTGTGTCAAACTCACACACTGCACCTTTAATGAATATAAATATGAGAAAATATTAGCACACAATACACACTCTCAAATGTGCATATACACGATTAATATTAAAGCTTCATGATTACTTTTTTTATATAAATTATGTGATTTTATTGCGTAATCTTGAGTTGACCTTAAAACAAATTAACAACTTATAAACTCGCAGTTCTGTTAAAATTACTCTTTCCTTACCTTTTTTTCAATGCTACAACCTGCAATCATGTACAGACAAAGATAACCAGCCTCTAATGACAAGAACATCCCTTTATTATCACAGAGTTGTCATTCGAAACACCTCGCCATGAACGTTTTTGAAATAATTAGCCAACGGCGCATGTCTTTGATTCAACAGAGCCATCTCAAAGGGGATGCTTAACCAAAGCTAATAACCCCAGAACCCGTCCCGTGAGCTCATACCGAAGGCTCGGCAGGATTGGGGGGGAATAGGGTCAATAAGATATGAGTGTCTGTGACCTGCTGTCGCATCATGAGAGCTAGAACAGATGATCAGTACAAAGGTTGAGAACCGTTAATTCACACAGCACAGGGTTTCCTTTAATTAAAACAGTGAGCACGAGGTCTCTTCGTGAGTATGATATGACAATCAGAAGACTAAACATTTGTCCAGCCAGACCCGAAGCAAACTTTTACAAAAACAACCGAATACATACATCATATAAAAGTTGCTTATAAACTATGGAAACCCATCGGAACCCGTTCAGACAGCTCCTTTACTGTGCAACGTTTAGTTACAGCTCTTCAATTATAGATTAGATAGATTAAGACAGACCCTGGATTCCTGATATCGCTTGCTAGTCGTGGATGAGATAAATCACACAGAACGGTATAGTACACGTAATACTCATAGGTTAATTAACATTGTGCTACAATTTTGATAAAAATCCCCTCATTCGATTTGGATAAGCTCAGTGCAGACAATGTACTCGTGATTGTGCGGAAGCTTTCATTAACATTAGCATCATTCGTGTTGTGACCACATTCAATAGCGCATTGATAGGCTTGCAACAGAGTAAATAAATGTACTGTATGTATTTTAAGTTGTTGATTGTTGTGCAGGGGGAAACCTACTCGTTTATCAGCCTGTTGAGTTGTTAATTGATGGACTTTCTGACTGGCAGCCTCTCAGTGGTGTGTTTCTCCATAGTTCCCCTTCTCCTGCCAGGCAGTGAAGCCCTTGGCTCAAGGTGACCAGCAGCATCTGGGACAATTTGCAGCCCTGAAGAAAAGCAATGAAATGAAGGCGTGACAGTGCAGGTGTGAGTAATTGTTTTATTGTGAGCATGTCTAGAAATGTGTGCGTTCCCTTGCCTTTTGTATAGCATTTCCCTTATTTCTCCTTCTTTCAAGAATGGCTCTGCGACAGTTTGCTATGAAATGGTGTTTACAAGAAAATTCTGTTTTAGTTTTTCTACTTTACAGTTTTATGTCTAATTTAGTGATTCATGGCATTTCGTATTTATTTGTGAATTTACTAGCAGTTTCTGTGTGAAAATGGATTTTGTACACTTTCAGTACAGGCTCATTGGAGGTATATATATATATATCTCAGCCTTAACTTTTTTTACGAAAAGTAACATATGTTGCTCCGAGTACATTGCGTTGCAAGTTTCAGATTAAAAATCCACTAGGGGGCACTGTCTACATTTTTGCAAAACTGAAAAATGTTACTTGGGATATGCTTTACATTTAGTTACACATCCAGGAGATTGTTGCACTTGTTGTACAGATCACCTAGATAACCACTGATCCAATCTCATTCCTAAGCCCAAAAGCAAATTTCCACTAAGTCTTCCGATGACTCTACATTGCTTTTATCTCTTTTGTGGAACTGTGGTTCAAACTTAAGTGCTCTGCATCACAAGTACAACACTGTACAAAGTGAATGACCGAGCAAACTAAACATGCCAGAAATGTTGTACATATATTGACATTTTGTAGATAGCTTACAAATAATAGTTGACTTGTGGTATTTATTTGATGTTGTGTAAAGAGCCACGTGAAAACGATCCTTTATTTTTTGAACATATGTGTCTGTGAATATCATGAATGTGAAAAGAAAAAAAATGTATTGGAGTCATACTGCTCTGCTGCATAATGTAGCTTTGAAACTGCAGTATGTTAAGTACGTCCTTAAGTAAGTTTTTTTTGGTTTGTGGCCTACAAAAATGCAGCTTGAGGCATGTATATCCAATGAGCCTGTGTTGAATATTTATTATTGTCTACTATAGCATTGTAATTGCTGTTTTAACAGTGTTATGGAGTGCGTCACTCACTTCTTGAGTGAATCATTTAATGAACTACACATTAAGATGAGTTTTTTGTTTGTTTGTTTTACTGTCATATTTAACATTACATGTCTAAACCACCCAAGATATCCAACAGTTAGCTCTCTGCAACTCTGTGGGCTTTGCAGAATGGGAAGATGACACGCACAAAATAATGGATGAAGTGCAAGAGTAGCCTACTGTTCAAAAAGGGCCAAGTAAACAAAACAGATGCTATTTAGGCTGAAGTGGCACCGTTTTTGTTATCTTGTTCCTGTATCTGTAAAAGCTAAAATGTCTTATTTTTACTTTCTGTATCTATTTGAAAATGAAGAAAATGTTGTCTAAAGAATAACTTTTGTTTTTATAAATAAATGTTCATTTAAAAACGTTTAAGTTTAACGTATTATATTACAATTATTATTATAGATACGCAGATTATAGCTCACTGAATGCGCTGTTAATCTCCACGGTGACCTATCAACATGCATTAAACAAAGAATTAAATTATTAAGTGACGATTAGGCGCGGGTCGGGTGTGGATACATATATTAGATAAAACTATATGTGCAGGCGGGTGGCGGGTGAATGATTAGCATGAAGCCGCAAATTCTGGTGTCATTTCAGTGGGTCCGAGCATCCTGGCCAAATTTCCCCACTGGCTTCTGTCCTGACCTGCTATGGACTTCTAACCATCCCCATATTATAATTGGCTTCATCACTTTGTCTCCTCTTCTCATAAGCTGGTGTGGTATGCGGTCTGGCGCAATATGGCTGCCGTCACAACATCCAGGTGGATGCTGCACACTGGTGGTGGATGAGGAGATTCCCCCCAAAAATGTGTAAAGCACTTTGCGTGTCCAGAAAAGCCCTATGTAAATGTGAGAAATCATTATTAATATTAATATTATCAACACACTAAAAATACACTAATTTAATTATGATTAATTGTCAATATCACACACCCCTCTGGTAGAAAAACACCACTCTTATAACTACATGAGTGGCAATAGATGTCCTAGGGGATTTCCATGGGGCTGAATCACAAGCAAATCTGATCAGACACACTCAAATGAATGTGAATTATTAATGTTCTGCAAACACACATCTGCCTCGTCATTCCATTGCATCTTTCACATGCCTGGATGAGACCAGGCCCTGTTGACTTTTAAATGCATTTCATTTTTCACCACAGCTACCTGTGGCGTTGATATATCGCTGCTTATTTCTTCCAGAGGACGGTCCCCAGCCTTCCTTGATGTTTTTATATGCATGTATTGAATCATTTATCAAGTGGCGAGATCATTCAATAATACGCTTTTCAGGAACACAGAGAAATAAGACTTTGCTGGGATCGCAATGATGATGATGATGGCTTTAGTCTGCCTCTCCTTGTGCTTGGGTTTTTTTATGAAAATGAAATGTGGTGTTGTTCTGCGCCAGGCCTCTTTTTGATGTCACAGAAACATTATGAAAACAGTGCAATTATTCTGTGGTACATAAATCTATCTGTGCACGCTGGCAGTATGGAAGATTAAATCACTTCTGCTGCACTATGAACTGTTATATGGCAATAGCAAAGAAAAGCTTGTGTTGAAAAGAAAAAAGTGTAAAGTTTCTCGATGTTTAGATTCTCAAATGCTCCTCGCTCACCGCTTGAAACGAGGGCTTCTTATCGAGAGATAACAAAAGCCTTACAGCATAATTACCCCAGCGCAGGTCACCTTGAGCATCACAAGAACGCCCTGCGGTAGAGACAGCCCATATAATGAAATCCTAGAGTAAAGGACACTTTTTGGTAGCACGTCCTCCTGTATGATCACTCCGCAATGTTGCTTTAATGAGACTTTCGTGACAACCTCAAACGAGTCTCAGGAGCTCGTACACATTCAGATATTGTAGCTTAAATCCCGACAGAAGGAAATGTGGTTTCTCCTTTCCTTGTGGTTTCTCTTCTTTTCCATGCGTTGCACCATCCTTCTCTCGCTCTTTCACACTCTGGAGCATCGCAAGTTTATTTTGAGGCACAGACAGATTTCCTCATGGGTATGTGAGGTTTAGTATACGGGTCAAACACACTTTGTAGCAGTCATTCGACATCAACGGCAGAATTTCTACTCTAAACCTGATCGTATGAATGTCAGCAGACATATTTGGGGGATGTTATTAAACCACTTCTTTCCATCGTGTCACAACTGCAAATAGCCAATCCCTGTTAAAAGGGGTCTAAAATATGCCATGGCTCTGCATATAAAAGGCAGTGTTCAAAGAGTTATATCCGTCAGCCATCTAAAGAAGACAGCAGTTACAAAGGACTAACTGATGGTCCTTTGTGATTTATTAAAGTGTGAAGATCCTTGATGATGCTAATATTAGAGTACCATTCAATTTGCTCGTCTTCAAAAGCCTGCTCACAGCAAAGAGAGAGAGATAGGAGATTGGACATTGAACGAGAGACAGAAAGGGAGCGTTAGAGCCTGAAGAATCCACTTATATAGCCCTGCTGTTAAAATAAAAAATATCGGACAATATGTCTGAAGTGTTTACAAAATTTCAATATCATAGAGAATCACACACTGTATAATAGCAAATGTACTTCAAAATGAACACTTCGTATAGTTTAGTGTCCCGGTTTGACTTCACTACTACAACCTCTTAAGAAACACCCTTTGATCCTGTCCAATACACATATAGGAATATATTGCATTTGGTGGACTAAAGAGAACAGCTAATAGTTTACAGTTCTACATGTCCATACGTTTCAAATTTAACCGTTTGAATATTTCCCTAAATAAATCCCTCAATTATTACATTATTGCACTTAAAAAAATATATTAAGAAAAGAAAACAAATGAAACAATAACCATGGTTTGTGTTCTGCTCGTGTTAAAGGAACAGTTCATCCCAAAATGAAAATGTTCAGTTTATTTACTCAACCTCTGGCTATCCCAGATGAATTTTTTCTTGAATGGAACGTTAAAAAAGTTTTTAGCTGAAACTGTGGTCCTTGGTGATTAAAAAAAGCAAGTTGACTGCTAACAGCACATTAAGAGTAAAAAAAAAAAACATCTGAAGAAAAAAAGACACATCTGGGGTGGCCTGAGGGTGACTAAATTAACAGCAAATTTCATTTTGGGGTGAACTATCTTGTTAAGGCCAATTCACACTCCTCCAAGTGATTCCAACCATTGTTAACAGTCACTTCACTTTAGACATTGCTGACAAATGCAGCTTTACCACATCCAATAACTAAATAAAAGCACTGACCAAAGCCAATGGAGGTAACCAGATGAACGTGTCTGTTGCCGCTGGTCGCTGTCTGTCGGTGCAGTGTGAATTGGTCTTTAAAGGCAAAGTCATTTAAGTCAGTAGAAGCTTGTGGTCCAAATAGTTCATAATTGGCACATGGAAGGACAAGTTCACACCTCTGATTCCAGACTGGAAATTCTGCCCCATGTCATGGGCACAATAGGGCTGCTATGAACAACCCTGCTGCCTGGAACAGGCACTAGATGGCCATCCTGTAGCTGTGCGGGTGCCCTATACCCTCCATATACACTGTCACTGGGATGTCCCATACACGGGAAGATGTTGCATAATTCAGCTGGTCCATATGACAGTGGGCTCTGGTAGACTGGCAGCTCTGGGTAGGAGTAGGGTCTATGCACCAAGCTGGATGCCCTCCTGACTGCTGCCACATTGTGGAAAATCGCCTCCTTGTAGGAAGGCAGCCTGGTGGACTGGCTATGTCTCAGCTTCTGACTTTTCCTGGAGTTTCGCCGGAAGGCATGAAGGTAGGTGTGATCCATTGGTTGAGCATAACACATGGTGTTCCTCACCCGTCCGTGTACATCCACGCAAGGGAACAGATCAGGTATAGTTACTCTAGAAGGGGGTGCAGCAGTGGGTCTGTCACCTGGGAATTTTACTCTGTCTGGACCCCAAGTGGCTTTCAGGAAGGATGGTCTGCGATGAAGCTTTCTTTTCCCTATCAAAGGTATTTCATCAAATGCAGGGTCAAAGTACGTTTTGGCACAAGAGTTACAAGCTGCATCTGCTACCACAAAGGGATTTTCACTGAAGGATGAGGAAAGATGATTTTCAGGAAAACTGTTTGCTTCGGAGTGACATGTTAATTGGTCTTTATAATCATGAAGACCCCTCAAATCCATAGACTCCACCAGGAGATTTTGGGGCCTCTTTTTCCGCCTGACTGCATCTGAGAAGTCATTGTGACAGGACTTGTGGTGTTCGGTGTAAATGTCTCTATATGGGACGAAGGAGGAACCTGTGTGAGCCAGGTCAGATGGAGGGTCATGCATGGCAAGATGCGGTGTGCTTAGACTGGATACAGGAAGCATGCCATCGTAGAGACCCCTGGTCCTGGCGGGAAGCGTGTAGCGTAGAGGAGTTGGCCGTGTTAACACTCTGTGGTTTACCATTAGCGGTGGGCTGGTGGTTGTGGTGTGTTGTGTGAAAGGTGGAGTTATGGAACGCTGCATGTGAGGTATGTGGTTCTCTGCGACATTAGCAATATAGGAGAAGTGACCGGGAACTTTTTCTGTGGTTGTCACCAGTGGGATACGGGCTGGGAGACTGCCACTCCGTCTGCTCCAGTTCTCAATGGTCTTGGTGGCGTTATCCAAAGAGTTCTCAACTTTGGCAGAGGAGACGATGTCCTTGGCTGTCTGAAGCATTTTCAGCATGTTGGCCTGGGCGTAATTGGCGGTGATATCTGGATTCTGTATGCCAGTAGATCTGCCAATGTCTTCGACTCCATTGAAGCAGCTGTATATGCCCTAAAACATAAAGTGAGTAATGAGAGTGTATTCCTGCAGATAAGTGGTATTTTGAAGGCGTTTCATTGGATTCATTCACAATTTTTCTCCATTATAATGATTAATACAACAGATTATATTTTTGTAGGAGACAAAGATCAGTTCAGTGTTTCGTGTCAAAGTTTAATGTGTCTCCTAATGGTGAATTATTTCATTATTTGTACTACAATAATGTGGTCATATTTTAACTTAATTTGCCCAAACATCTTATTTAGTAAAATATTATACAGTAGATTAGGGCAGTGAGGGCAAAAGAAACCTATCACGACTTTCTTGCACAGTATTGAGATTTCGATTTTGACACACAGATTTTATAGTGTGAATCTGAAACATTTTTCTAAAGGAAAACAATCAGAACTTTAGAAAACACCTGTAACATGTTTCTAAAATAGGTTAAAAATAAAATAAAAATCACCTAGTAAAGGTGTAATAGATAATCTCCTGAGCAGACCCTATGACAAAACAAAGAAATAGACTACTGTGTGTGTGTGTGTGTGTGTGTGTGTGTGTGTGTGGTATGCCGTCTAACACAAGTAGGCTCCGATGTTCTGTTTGACCATATGTCAAGCCTCCTTTCCACTGCACACGACAAACGACAAGCGACAGACCGGAAGTCATTCATTTCCAATGGAGAGTAGTCCGGGAGCTGCGTTGAGTTCCGATCATCTCCGTATGCGGAAAATTCGGATCCAAATTGAGCTGCGGATCTGTTGAAATATTTGAACTCCTGCGACTAGACCGTATGCGACCTGCCGACCGGATATGATGTATTCCAGTGTTGTCCAAGTAGATCGTGCGCGCGAGATGAGAAATATGAGTTTATTTGGTTATTTTTTTGAATTATAAAAAGCCTATATATATACAGTATATATATATATATATATATAAACTTTTCTGTTCATAAATGTAAGTAAAAAAGTAATAAAAATATTTATTTTTAATGTTGCCTCCACATTCCCTCCAGTATTTTAGCGGTCTATGAGTTTCTAGTATTCATTCATTCATGTAAACACACAGAGAATGAAGGCTCTTGCTTTTGCCCTCCTTTATTTCGGACACCATGAAATCAGCTTCTTCCCCATGGTGCATGACAAGACTGAAAATACTGTGCGGCTGCCACAAGGGGGTGTATTCCGACAGTCGTGTCCAAATGTTGTGTGCAGTGGAAAGGCAGCTTCAGAAGTAGTTGCATGTACTTTTGTACATGTCGACAGATTTTTTTTTTCTCCCATTGATAGATCATAGACCTCATTTGTGAGGTTGCTGTGAAATAGGCCGTTCACGTCTTTTGTGCGCACAAATTTGATATTTCCAATGTAGGCGCCCATCTTGCGTGCATATTGGGAGTGATACACGGGCGTATTCCATGCACACCTAGTTGAAAATATATCTACTTTCAGAATGCTGCAAGTGTAACGTGAGTCATACTGTAACAAGAACTGAGTTATCAGCTTCATACTTTATATAGAATACACACATTTAGTCTAATTACCTCAGACAAACACTGTGCTTTTTAATTTTATTCACGAATTTAACTTGTATCAGGACTGCAGCAATGTTTTGTTAGTTTGACATCCGCTGAGCAATGACAGAGGAGCGTGAGCACAAATCACGTTGAATGCTGAAGGAAACGATGCACCTTGCACTTTCCACATGCTTTTAGACGCGATATGTGATTGACAGGTTTACAAACTACCTGATTCAGAGATACATCAGCCTTCCTCTCTCCAAAGTAATCCCACAACATATGTGTTGACTTTTTAGGCACCAAGTCGTCCTGTGCTGAACCCATCATCCCTATTTATGCAGGCTTTTTGTCATTAAGCACAGTTTCCTGTTCTCGCGCTCTCTTTAGCCACAATGCATTAAGATTTGGTTCAAATAGCATACTGTGGGAAAATCGTGCTGCAAGGCGACACGATTCGAATTTCGATACGATTTCAATAAATCGCATATCCCTATAGTTTTGATTGTAATTATGAGTGTAAAATGTCAGTGTATCTTTGAATGAATAATTGAATGAATTAAGGAGTTTCAGTGGTTGGTTTACAGTTTTTGCAAAGAGATAATTTTTTTTTTAAATATAAGAATATAGCATGCTTTTTTTCTATAATTTCACAAAGGTCTTTAGAAATCATTATAATATGCAGATGTGGTACTTGACTAATTGTCTTTGAAGTGTCAATACTTTAAGGGTCCTTCTATGAATATAACATACAAAAGAACAACATGTATTTAAAATATAAATTTTCACATCTTTGCAAAAAAAATGATTAATTTCTTTAAAAAACAACCAAGCAAAACTAATATATATAAATACACAGCCCTAAAACCATTACATTGTATAAATCTAAACAAAAAGGCATTAAAAAAGAAATGAGCACTGCAATCTTACCCTGCTAATGGCCAGCAGAAAGTCTAAACGATCAGATTTGTGAACAGAGTGCCTCAGTTTCCAGTAAAGTAGATGTTCCCAAGCAAAGACCAGCAGGCTGAGACCCATGGCCACAAGCAACATGTAGAAAACACCTGCCATGTTGTCTATGTCTAGTTTAGAGCTCATGACCTCGTTTTTCTCATTCTGGCATATTCCAGACAGCCATACTGTCTCCAGTCTCTGTGTGTCCCCTGCATGAAAGGAAACAGGGTCAGGAACAATGCCAGAAACAGCGGCAGGCAAAGACTACTCAACTATGACAGAAACAAGAGGATACATAAGAATCACATATGTGGTCTGCCCCAATATGAAATAATGTGCCAACCTGGACATTATTTTGAAGCACTAGATGTGCATTCCCAATATAAAGGCTGTTAAAAAAAGCTACCTAATTTGGATAAAATTGCATGTAACATTTATGGTGAGAAATGCATTGTCAAGTCAAATCAATCAATCAATCAATCAATCAATCAACAAACCAACCACCCAACCAATTAATCAATGGATCAATCAATCAAACAACCAATCTATCAAAATAAAAAATAAAAAAATGAAACAAAACAAAATAGGCAGTATGGTTGCCCACAAATTCGTCTGAGGTTTTCTCTTACCTGCTGTTTGCACCGAAATGCCTTTCATAACCTCTCAATTCTCAGCACATTGAGTTTTTTACACTAAGAGGAGAATGTGATAGCTTTCATACTGGGGCAGAGGATATTAAGTGTGGACCAGTTCCGGTCCCCCCTAGTGCAATTTACCGTCTCCCAGGAACTGGAGAAGAGCCAGGTCTATGGGGCGCTTCCAGCGGGAGTCTTTCTGCAGAGCAATGCCGTAGCCTGTGGTAGCAAACACCTTCCCGCTACCAATGGTGACCAGCTTGCAGCCCTCATCCTTGCCAGCCATATAATTAAGAACTGCTGCATCATATATGAAGGCATCCAACTTCCTACACAGAGGACAGAAATGAGCCCAAGGCAAATGGCTTAATAATTACACATAATTACGTCAAGTAAATAATTAGCTCTTGTTAATTTATACTCCTTTTTTCCTTGACAAATGGAGGAGGATACATTATTTATGCTTGGCTGTTTCCCACCAGCGTTTCACTGACCTTTAGATCTCTGCAACTCAAAAATATCTAACCAAATTGCTTCTAAATGATGCCTATAATGATTTATCTCATCGCAGAATAATAACCAAATAGAGAATTGCCGTATTTTTTGTACATACATGGTATACGGTAGTAGCATGTAAGGGTGTATTGCATTATGAATACAGTCCTATTATTGGTTGTTCCTGGATTTTATGATGAATTTTCTGACAAAATTAGACCTAGGATTATTACTATGAAAAATAGGTATGGTTTAGTGGCATGCCTCTTGTAACATTTTGATTTCTGTAGTCCCTGTTACTGACATACCCTGACCGGCCACTTTATTAAGTACTCCTGTCCAACTGCTTGCTAACGGAAATTTCTAATAAGGCAATCACATGGCAGCAACTCAATGCATTTAGGCATGTAGACATGGTCAAAACGGTTTGCTGCAGTTCAAACCGAGCATTAGAATGGGGAAGTAAAGTGATGTAAGTGACTTTGAATGTGGCATGACTGTTGGAGCCAGATGAGCTGGTCTGAGTTTTTCAGAAACTGTTGATCTACTGGGATTTTCATGCACAGCCATCTCTAGGTTTACAGAGAATGGTCTGCAAAAAATAGACAATATTTAGTGAGCGGCATTTCTGTGGGCGCAAATGAGGTCAGAGGAGAAAAAGAGGTCAGAGGAGAATGGCCAGACTGGTTCTAGCTGATAGAAAGGCAACAGTAACTCAAATTACCACTCATAACAACCGAGGTCTGCAGAAGAGCATCCCTGAAGGCCCAACACATTTAACCTTGAGGTGAAAGGTCGGCAGAAAAACACAGGAAACTAAGGCTATAGAAGATTGAAAGACTTTCGCTGGTCTGATAAATCTTGATTTCTGCTGACATTCGGTTGGTTGAGTCAGAATTTGGCATCAACAACATAAAAGCATGCATCCATCCTGCCTTGTATCAACGGTTCAGGCTGGTGGTGGTGTAATGGTGTGTTTTATATTTCCTTGGCACACTTTGGGCCTATTAGTACCAATTGAGCATTGTGTCAACACCACAGCCTACATGAGTATTGTTGCTGACCATGTCCATGCCTTTATACTACAGTGTACTCATCTTCTGATCCTACTTCCTGCAGGATAACATGCCATGTCCTAAAGTGTGAACCATCTCAGACTGGTTTCTTGCACATGACAATGAGTTCACTGTACTCAAATGGCCTCCACAGTCACCAGATCTCATTCCAATAGAGTACCTTCGAGATGTGGTGGAACAGGAGATTCGCCTCATGAATGTGCAGCCGACAAATCTGCAGCAACTGTGTGATGCTATCATGTCAGTATGGACCAAAATCTTTGAGGAATATTTCCTGTACTTTGTGGAATTTATGCCACAAAGGACTAAGGCAGTTCTGAAGGCAAAATGGGCTCCAACCCTGTATTAGTACCTAATAAAGTGGCCGGTGAGTGTATTTGAAGCAAACACTACCAGTGTATGTTTTGTGTAGTTTCATTCTATGGCAGCTTATTCAAATAAATTAACTAACAGAGCAATCACACTACAGTTAGTTTTCATCAAACCAAACTTACAAACTGTGAACACACCCTAAATGGTACCATCGTAATATCTTATTTTAGCGCTTTGAGCTCTGGCACACTACCACACACACATAAAGTGTTATCGCTGAAGCCCACCCTGTCTTAAGGCTGTTGAGAGCTTCTTCCACTCCCTTCTGGTTGTATTTGATCATGTGGGTGTGCATGTCAGGGTAATTGCTTCGAATGTTCCTCTCTGTGCTGCCATTTGGGACCGTTCCGAAGCGAAAGGGAGGATAATGTTCCTGGGGTTTTTGAAACTGAAACAAAAAGTAATAAATGGCATTTCAATCATTTAGCTGAGGCCCGAAACAGCATAACCTTAATAGTGTAGATCAACTCAGATTACACAGACATCACATCGAATGACCTACTGCCCGGTGGGTGTGACCTTGGAAAAAAAGATCAAGGAGCTAATTATTTTTATTTGTCTTCTCAATGATTATTGCATTTTTATGGACTGTTGGCAAGAGTTGACTCATATTTTCCACAATGCACATTGGAGCTACTAAAGTTTGGCCAAATTTTGGCAAAAATGTAGGTTCAGGGCTCAATTTTAAAGTCAAGAACACAGATGTATGCATTATATATATATTAGGGATGTAACGGTATTGTAAATACCGTTATACCGCAATATTAATTTTTTTCGATATTACCGAAGTCGCATGACTCGGTAAAACTATAGGTCTTCTGAGAAAATTTGCTCAGGCGAATGAAGCGAACGGGAGGTAGCTGAAACTACATTTCCCATCAGCCCAGGCGTGGCCATAATCCTTTGCGGTCTGTTGTCGCTACAGATCCAGTAATGCGGAAATGGAGTGTGCTGCTAGTAGCGGAGATGAAAAAAAGATGGAAATGATCGAACCTAAAGCGGGTGTTGTCGCCGCGCGCGTGCTGAATAGCGGTGGTGTCGCGCGCGTTCTGATCAGCTGTGTTGTGGCGCGCTTATTGTAAAGCGCCGAGGGGGGGTTGAGCGCGCATATTCAAGAGAGGTGTTGTCGCGCGCCTACTGAAGGGCTGGATTGGACGGAGGTTGTGTCGCGTCGCGGGGGCACTTTTGATCGTTTTGGAAGGGCATTTTCTATCCAAGACTAAAAAGGGCATGTGCACTGCACAGGTTGAGCCCTATGTGTGCACGTGCCTGCAAGTTGGGGAATACGACTAATAACAGTCATGGGGACTGCAGAAACACAGCACACTGTTCAGATTGATGCAGACATTGACTTGTACCGCAAAGAGATCTCTATCTCACTCATGGTTTGTCTTCTCAAGTGGGGGAAAGACAATGCACAACGTTACCCCACTGCTGTCAACCTGGGCCAAGTCATATCTCTCTTGTCCCAGAAACCTCAGTCCCAAATGAGAGGGTTTTTTTCTGTTGCAGGGGACATTGTAAATACCCAGAGATACCAGCTTTTACCAGATTATAATTATATGATAATTTTCCTTTAAACCCATCTCTATCTAAGTGAGTGAGTGAGTGATTAAATGTTGAATGTGGTGAGTTTTCAACAATACTAAATTGAAACTTTATTTTTTTACATGGTTTAATAATTTTTTGTTATTAAAATTGAAGTTAGTGTTTCAAAGCTTACAGAAAGATGGCTAATTTGTATGTCATTGACACTTTTGGCACGTTTTTGGAGTATTTTCAAAAGTTTTTTTTTTCCTGTAAATGATTCAATAAATACCGTACCGTGACATTCATACCGAGGTATTACCGAACCGTGAAATTCTGATACCGTTACATCCCTAATATATATATATATATATATATATATATATATATATATATATATATATATATATATATATATATATATATATATATATATATTTGCGTCTAGTGAATATAAGCATGGCTCCAAGAACTTGTGTTAATGTTTCTATGAATGATTAATCTGTTGTCGATCTTCCCTTAGGTCCATTTCATTTCTCATTTCAGTTTTGTCGCTTACAGCGTTGCTTTATGAAAAATAATCAAATATTAGCAATCAAGAAGTTTTATAGACAGGGAACTTTGAAAGGTGCCAATTTATTGATATCTCAATGACAGTTGTGTTTTGACATAGAATTTTAGTCCTTTTTGACAAGAATGGATTGCATGTCATATTAACAATTTTTGTAATTGCTTAGCTCCTGTGTAAAAAGTTATTATTTTACAATATTTAACACATGAATAAAACATACAAAATATGCATACTAGATATGACAAGGCCTTTCAGCTTTCAAGAAGTCTTTTTTTGATTTTGTCATAACTGCTTCTACACACACAAAACACATCAAAAGGTCTACAAATGCAGCTCTGCTGTCATGCAGCTCATTTACAATTACACACAACTCACCTTCTTGTCACTAAGCCCAGACACTGTGTCAATGTACTGCTCTTGGATCATGAAGGCCGCTAAATTGGCTGTATAGCTGGCGAGGAAGATTACAGCAAAGAACGCCCAGACTAGGACCATAATTTTGCTGGTTGTTCCTTTGGGGTTTTCAATAGGAACAGAGTTGTTGAAGACGATTCCCCACAGGAGCCAAACAGACTTCCCAATGGTAAAGGTTGGACCCCCAGGGGCTATAGAAGAGATCAAATCATTTTTAACACGACAATTCTAAAATGCTTATACTGTAAATATATTTCAGTTGTATCAAATGAACTGAATCGAGTATGCATTAAGCTGATAAAAACTTATAGCACAGACATGTAATGTTCCAAAAATGTATACTTCAAGGCAAGCTTTAATTAAAATTTCTATTCATTAAAATGGGGGTGGCATAGTGGCTCAGTGGTTTTCCTCACAGCAAGAAGGTCGCTGGTTCAAGTCCTGGCAGGGCCAGTGGAGTTTGCATGTTCTCCCTGTGTTTGTGTGGGTTTCCACTGGGTGCTCAGTTTCCCCCACGATCCAAAGACATGCGCTATAGGTGAATTGAATAAACTAAATTGGCCATAGTGTATGGGTGTGCGTGTGTTAATGCGAGAGTGTATGGGTGTTTCCCAGTACTGGCATCCGCTGCATATGCTGGAATAGTTGGTGGTTCGTTCTGCTGTGGCGACCTCTGATAAATCAGAAACTAAAGGTTGTTTTATACTTCTGCGTCAAGCATACGAGCTGGCGCCGACACTGACGCGCACCTCTTAAAGAATGCAACTACACTTCGCAACGACGCATAGCGCAAGCTCTGTGATTGGTTGGCTAGGTAATGGTGATGATGGTGGGTGGTGCTGAGAGCTGCGAGCTATAACTTTAGTTTTGTGTTCATCTCATAATTAAAGTTGTTCCAGTTCCCGCCTCTTAATTAGTGAGTTTTAGCTGCTTGTACATTAAGGTAGCATTCAGAAAAAAAACACCCATACAGAAACTCGAACCAGAGGAGCACAAAATCATACTGCCTGCTAATGCTTTGAAAGTGTCATTACAGAGAAACGCAAACAGCACATAGAAGTATAAATGCACGACTACGTGTAAGGCGGGCTCCTTAATACGAAAGAAAATGAATGAATGAATTCATCAAAACTCAATTACTGATTTAAAAAATCACCACTAAGACAACAAAACAGTTTTAAACATTTAGAAATGTATGCAATAAGCATATTAAATAGTTTTGAAGGGTTTGTGACACTTATGTTTTTCCTAAATAAATGAATTGGAGACTTTTAAAGTATTTAAAAATGAATATTTCATAAAAAAAAATTAACTTGTTATTTTTAATTCACATAAGTACATCATCCCATACTAGAGTTTTTTTTGGGGGGGGGGGGGGGGAGATTTCCACTGAATTAGACAAAGATCAATCCACACTGCCAAAGACTTTCTTTTCTCGTTCCACCTTGACATCGGTTCTTAATGTGGTTCTTGTGTCTCACACACAGCCACAGAAAAGCCAAGCAATCAATCAAAGTCAAATTAGCAAAGCGACAAACGTTAATTAAACCTCCGAAAAATGACCTTTTACACTAGGAGACAAGTACACACCCTGTCAGCTCAGTTTATGTGGATTGATTAGGCTGCTTCCACAACTATTCTTCCTCTTAAAGAGCTTTGTGCCTCATAGAGAGAAGTGTGTTTGAAAAACCAAGGCTGACCTTTGGCACTGACAAGGCTCCGGTTGTAGCCAACAGGGCTGAAGTACTCAAAGACGAACACGGTGACTGCCACAACAGTCAGGCACATTACGAACATCATAACCCACACGGCTGGACTGTAAGGCTCTGAAAGACAAAGACAGATGGGTTTTGGTATCTCATTGAAATGGAAAAATTAGCTGATTAATTATTAATTACTTATTAATTTTTGTATTACATTTATTAAGTCAACATATAAAGGACGACACATACACTCAATTTACAAACACAAAATGAACATACACAATGACTACCTATTTACAATATACTGCAACTATACTATATATGATATTTATATAACAACTTTAACCGTTAAAAGCTATTAGTAACTAGTTAATTAAATTTATAGTAACTAATAAAGTTGTTGTAATTAATAAACTTTTAATAATGTGCACCTTTTGTAAAGCTGCTTTGAAGCAATAATTATACATAAACAAATAAGCTTGAATTGAATTGAATAATTAGTTTATGAAGTTGGAGATTCTGTCGAAAAACGCCTGTCCTGTCAAGGATTTGTTTTCAGTTGAATCCAACAGAGGCATAACATCTTAATCTAATCACAACCACCGCTGGTGTGAAATCCTAGCCTGTGCCCTTGGAACTGGACCGCTAATGATGGCTGCTTACCCAGGAAGGCAGAAGGTGAGACTGTTCCATTGCTTCTGGCCACCATAACACTGATCCCAGTCTCCACGAATGGCACTGAAAAGTCAACAATCTCTGAGCGCTCCTCGTTGATGGTTAGAGAGCCAATAGCCATATCTGCACGTTTGTAGAAGACCTTGAACAAGGAGAAAGTGAATGAAAGTATGTGGAAATCTGTGGTATCCTGAAATAATGAAGGCCCATGTGGACCACACATTTGGCCAGCTGTGGATGAACATTACAATTTACATTCATGTACAAACTTATAGATATTTATGTATTTATTCATGTACAAACTTATAGTAATGCATTCACATATCACACATCATTGGGAAGTAGGCACATTTGGACGTATCACTTTTAAGGGTAACATTTTAGTTTACCAATTCTCAATATTACCTTTTGGCTTATTACCTGCTTATTATCAAGATACTGTCTGTTTATTAGTACTTGTAAAGTATGATACTATTCATTCTACCTAATGCCTAGACTCAGATACTCGCTTTCTGACTATTAAGCAGTGAATTAGTACTTTATTTTATTAAAAGTCTCTAATGGTTTATTCTAGGTGCAGTAGGTGATTGTCTTCAGAAGCATTTTTTTTTTGCTGGTTGAAAGTCTCTCCACATTCCAATAGCAATGATTCAAGTAAATGATCCAAATGTATTTATAAGTATTTTTATATTCTGTGTAAGGCATAAGACTAATAATGGTTCATTCAATTAAAAATTGTCAGGCTGACAATACAAATAATTCTGATAAGAAGCCCAAACTGTCTGTCAGCAAATGTAGATTTGTACATCTGCGCATCCTCTTTCACACAAATCTGCCATTTGTGCATGCATGCATGTTCCCGCACATGAGCGAGAGAGCGAGAGAGAGAGAGAGAGAGAGAGAGAGAGAGAGAGAGGGAGAGAGCGGTAAAAGCAAATGCTGAATCAAAACATTAAAATCCTGTTACTGTATTGATTGTTTTAGACATGTAACAGGTAATGTTCTGTTTTAAACTTATTTTAGCTACACAAAGCTTATATAGATTTAGACAATTGTTGACAGTTTTTGTTGTTTTACGAATGGGTTATATGCACAGAAGTGTTGTTCAGCAACTGAAATCTTCTGATGTGACTATTTTCAGTTTCATAAGGTCCCTTTTACAACATTGATAATGTAGATTTTTTTTAGGTTAACAATAAAACACCAGTAAATAGAGCTATTCCACCTAGCTTGCTTTACTGAGGTAAAGTTGGTTTTCACATCACATTGGTTCATTTTGAACAATGACAAAATGCTCCCTAAATTGTTTACCATGCTAATCTGAATATTCAGTCTGAAATAGCATGTAAGTATGGCTTAGTAATAAGTGTAAATCCTGCACTCTTGACAGCCAAGCACTAAGGATACAGTAGTTGCTTTAGGACAAAGCGCGTGAGAGAGTGAGACCAGCTATCTTTGCATGCATGAAATATAATGACAAGGTGTGCTTGCTACACAACTGAAAATCTGCTAGATATAATACAGTTTTCTGTTTGGAATTGTAATATTATAAAGTACTTTAACGTTTTCTAACTGGTGAATGACATGATCTAGTAGTCTCTGTCATCTTGAATGTGCATGTTTATGATATCAGTAGGCGTGCATTTGGACGACAGGAGTGGAACTGTGTTTCAAAGATATTATGCTAAGATCTGCTAAGTTGGCAGATCACCTACTGCACCTTTAACAGCAAGACATGTATCATAAAATATAGTGACTGATATTTTTTTCTTTCTTTTATTTGTTTAAAGAAATCAATACTTTTATTTTGTGAGGATGCATTAAAACTGTACAAAAATTACAGTAAAGTTTTTCATCAAATTTTTACAAAAATGATTCATCCTGTTTTTCCTTTTATATTTATTATATAGGGCGTCACGGTGGCACATTCGGTAGAACGATCGCCTCACAGCAAGAAGGTGGCTGGTTCAAGGCCTGGCTGGGTCATTTGGCATTTATGTTTAGAGTTTGCATGTTCTCTTAGTGTTTGCCTGCATCTCCAAGTCCAAAGACGTGGTAGAGGTGAATTGGGTAAGCTAAATTGTAGTTTATGTGTGTGAATGAGTGTGTATGGATGTTTTCCAGTGATGAGTTGCAGTTGAGTTGATGAGGAAGGGCATCCGCTGTGTAAAACATATGCTGGATAAGTTAGTGGTTCATTCCACTGTGTTGACCCCAGATTAATAAAGGGACTAAGCTGAAAAAAAAGAATGAATTTATTATATACAAAAATGAGAAAAGTTTCTTCAGTTCCAAATTGGCACATTAAAATGATTTCTGAAAGTTACTGAAAATCTGACATTACAGCAAAAATAACATCTTAAACATATATTTTTTTAAATTTAATGGAATAAAAAAGTCTTATAACCCAAGAATATGTTTGAATAGAACATTTTAAGAGATGTAAACAAAAACAATGGTCCCAAAGTATTTACTGTTTTACATTTTTAATGTCCATAGCTTCCAAGAATTCAAAAAGAGCCACACATTGATAAATAATGTTAAGATAGCTGTTTTACCATTATTCACTCATTTTCTTTTCAGCTTAGTCCCTTTATTAGTCTGGGGTCGACACAGCGGAATGAACCGCCAACTTTTCCAGCGTATGTTTTAGGCCAATGGTTCTCAAAGTGGGGGTCGGGACCCCCCGAGGGGTCGCGGGACAATGAAGGGGGGTCGCTTGGTGATTTCCAAAAATCTATTTATTTTTATTAAACCATAAGAATTACCATATTTTATCCATAACCTACTGAAGAGAAAAAAATAGTCGTTTATACCATATAGTTACTATGGTAGCTTATAGTTACTACTTCTATTGGATTGCAACCCCTGGGGTAATTACATTATATTAAAGACACAGCAATAGTGTCAGATGCAGCAGATTTCATAACACCTGGTAAAACTTTGTTGCCCATTTACAGCTCTCATACATTAAAAAAATTAAAAGAATAGACTTGGGTCCATTGGTGTGTGTGCTCCATTGCATGCAAGGTTTCTGTATTTATAAACACCTCAGAATATATTGGGGGTCGCGACTCACTGGCATTGTCATTTTGGGGGTCGCGGCCTGAAAAGGTTGGGAACACCTGTTTTGGGCAGTAGATGCCCCTCCAGCTGCAACCTATCTCTGAGAAACATCCATACACACTCATATACTACAGACAATTTAGCCTACCCAATTCACCTGTACCGCATGTCTTTGGACTGTGGGGGAAACTGGAGCACCTGGAGGAAACCCGCGCAAACGCAGGGAGAAAATGCAAACTCCACACAGAAATGCCAACTGACCTAGCCTAGGTTCGAACCAGAAACTTTCTTGCTGCGAGGCGACAGCACTATCTACTGCACCACTGCGTGTCCTGTTTTACCATTAAGTTATGATTAAATTCCCTCTTGTTACAGTTATGAAATAGTTTGATAACTAGCAGAAAATGTTCATGGACCAATGACATGACCACATTGAAATGGTCAATAGTTTATTGAGTAATATATATTGTCTCAAAACAAGGTATAGAGACCTTTAAATTGTCAATCAAAGTCAAATACCCACAATAATAATTATAATTTTGCATGTACATCACAATTAAGACTGTTGCTACTGTTTTCCAGATTCTTCAAGGAATAAAAATGGACATGAACCGCTAGGTCTGTCATCACACAACTGGTAACATCGCAAATTAGTGTTGACAGATTTGCTTTGCCATCACACGCAAGCAGTCTCTTGAACGGAAAAAAAAATCCTCATACAGCGCTCTTGTCAGCCCCGAGTTTGTCTTGCAATTATATAATAATTATTAATCTCATTTAACGATCTATTGCTCTGGCAGTGTGAAAAGCATTTAAGCCACGTACAGTATGTGAAGCGAGGGTTTTGCTATCTTTAAACTCCTGAGCGTGTGAGCAGATGCAGGTGATGAGAACCGATGAAGTGATCAGCAGCTGTGGAAAACACTTAACCACCGGATTAAGTGACACTACACGCAGCAGGAGGTCACAGGATGAAATGTGTCGAGATCGCATTTTAAAGCCAGTTATGCTTCATGAATGCCCTTAACAAGTTTAGCTGCAATAATTGGAGGTTTGAGGAACTCTGGTAAATACGGAAAGAAAACAGGGTGTGAGTAATGCTAGGTAAAGCGCGTCGACACTGTCATAGGAAGCTGATTTATTTATTTTTTCCGCATCACGCTGTAAACTGTTTTATTTTTACATTCTCAGATGTTAATTTAGCTCATTTCCCATGAGCTCTGAACTGTTGACATGTTTGAAGTGTGAGGGTGTTTATGTGAGAAAAAGAGAGGGAGAGACAGAGAAAAAATGTGCCATTTCATACCTCTCCAATCATCCCATTCCAGACGCCACGGACCATCTTGCCATGTTTCCCATTGGTGACCAGATAAAGGTCGTATGAAAACTTAATGGTGCGTGAGAGCTTCTTTAGGATGTCTATGCAGAAGCCTTTGCAGCAGAGTTTGGTGTAAGGCTCAGTGTGACCGATTATACTGCAAACAAACAAAAAAAAATACATTACACATTTACTACAATGCTTCACACTAAATCTTTCTTTAAAGAGATGCATTAAAAAGGTCATATTTTGGTTTTGGGGGTATCCAAAAACGGGCTGCTATGCATGCGAGGTCAAAAAACAATTCCATTGTCTTATACTTGTATTTATTTTTACCAAATTATCCAACGACTCCCATATGATTAGTTCAGTGATTCATTTGTTCCCAAACCCCTCATTAGCGTGATGCTAATCTAAACTAATTGGTCCGATGACCAAGTCTGTTGTGATTGGTTGACTGTGTTCAGCATGAGACAGAGGGAAACGCCCACCTCGGCTCATCAACATTGTTTTACAAGCTAGAGAAAACAAGGAGGGAACCATTTTAATCGCATTTAGTAACACTTGTGAAATGGATGAAGGTACCGGTCCATGAACTGTGTACTGTAAAGTTCCTGTCAAGCTCTGACAAAGTCCCATACATCAATAGTCTTTTCTGATTCTTCCATTAACAGACGGCTGACAAATGCCCTGTTGCAGGGTAGATTATTGTATTAATCACCAGAATGTTCACTCATTAATGTTTGTTCATCTTCAGTCATGATCATTCTCACACACACCCACACTCCGCTAGCGTTTGAAGGAAAAGCGTGTTCACTTTTACAGAATACAACCCTTCATATTTGGAATTGTTTCGTGTTTACATCGATATGAACAGGCAAAAGATCTTAACGAATAATGAGTCATTATATAATATATTATAAATATTATACAAATACAAATATATATATATATTCCATGCAGTGTCCAACACAGCTTAAAGTGAATGAAAACATTCACTTTAAGCTGTGTTGGACACTGCATGGAAGGTAATTTTCCAAAAACCCATAATAGTCTCTTTAAAAACAAACTAAATAAAGTCAGTGGTAAAGTCACCCAAAAGTGATTCTTTTTTTTAAATTTCATATATTCTGACCCCATGTTTTAACTTAAAGCCAAAAAATAGTCATATGCAGCACTTTCAAATGACTGCTTATGACTTGCTTCAATCAATTGTAACTGCATGGAAATACCAGACAAGCAGATTTTAATAAGGACAACATGTTATTTGTGGGTGACTTCCTTTTTCCAATTATAAACCACAGTTAAAAAGGTTACATGCTTAATAGGGGTTCAGATGCTCCCATTGAACATTTGGCATCGAGGATCAAAGCGTATGGTTCTAGGGCAAAACATATGGTGTGACACACATCTGAAAGGAAGATTATTGACAGAAAGGCTAATTAATTGGAATAATACAGACATGAATATGCAGAGAGGAAATAATCTGTTGCTATAAGAGGATATGAAGATTAAAAAACTCTGCGTACAGAGGTTAAAAATGACACTGTACTGTAAGAAAAAGATCAGTAGAAAAAAAACAAAAATGTACAGCTCGTTTTCTGTCACTTAATTTCATTCTTAAATATAAAAACTATTTGTTTTAAAGTCATCGTGGAATTAAAGTCATTTTTTAAATGGAATATAGTATACAGTATATTATTTTTGGGGAATTCATGTGCCTTTAACATATAATCAAAATAATTTGTCCTAATTTTTTCAGCTACTTTTTGATGACAATGCGAGGACAGGATAACCTGTTGCTCACGAGCACACACCAATAGCAAGCTGCATTCATTCAATCAATTTCAGCACAAAATTTAAATGCGCTCTTACTTTTTTCTCATTTTAGAAGCTTTTACAAGGATATGCAATACAAAATGAAAGACAAGACCAGTGCAACTTCTTCCAATGTAATGGCAGAAATAAAAGTAAACCTCCCTGGCATCAAGAGGTAAACTTGCAGTTTTATGCATATTAGTTTGCACTCCCTCCTCAGAAATGAAGATTCAAATCTTTCTCAAGCTTAAAAGTGTTATATTGGTGCTGTGACTCGGATGGGAAGTTTTTGTAGGGTGAGTGTTATGGAGGCTAGCTAGAAAGAGCCTATAGGTGTTGGCAATCAGCATTTTTAATAACCTTTATTTAACCAGGTAGGTCAATTGAGATCCAGTTCTAATTTACAATGACGATCTGGCCAAGAGGCAACATAAAAAGCAGATATGAAGCAGCTGGGACACAATACAACAACAATTTCACAGATGCAGATACTAACAAATAAATCCAAGGAACAACTAAAAACATGCACAGTGATCTTGTACTATTAACTGGACTTAATTTTGTTGATCGGCAGCTGAGATCGAGTGTTTCAGATAGAGTGCTAAAAGACTCGGAGTGGATCAGCTGTTTAATGGCCCGAATCTCCATACATTACATTCACTGCATGTTCAGCGCAAATGGCCACTAAATGTAAAATTTAACACTGTGTATGATATCGACAAAGAAGCTCGCTTTTACAAAGTTTAAACTGAAACTGCGATGGTCATCGAGAGAATCCTGCTCCACCCCGCTCATATATTGGGCAGGCTGTCTGGCCTGCTTTTTTCCACAAACACAGAAAAATATAAATCGGCGCAAACCGAAACCAAAACATTTAAAGATTGATAGAACTGAGTCTTTTTTTCCTTTCTTTTCTCAGTTTTTTCTTGAGATGCATTTTATTTTTCTATTTAGTTACTGATGACAGCTTTGCAGCTTTCAGCATTTTATAATAAATTGAATGATTTATTATGATCTCATGTTTGTTTTGTTGAAATATTATTTGTTTATTAAATTGACATGCATATAAAAACAATAGTGCAAAATAAAAATTTCTTACTGCAATACTTTATTTTTGTTTGATGCAAACCATAGATTTATTTATCATAAAGTAACAATAGGACTTTTATAGTAGATAACTCACATTCTAGCACATTCAAAGCAGCAGGATAATGAGAAATGGAATTCATTGCTAGTTTTATTGTCATCACTGTCATCATTAATATTTTATAATTATTAGACATTCATTTTGAAATTTGTTAGATAGTTGTTTCTGTTTTTTTTTAAGTCCTGATTGATGTTTTCAAATACAATGAATCCATTAATATACAGTACAATTTGCAGTAGTGCGCAGTAATTTTTGGTGGTTGCTCCTAAATCTTTTCTGGTGCTCCTAAATTTTTGAAGTTGGGAGCACCGGTGCTACCAAGTAAAAAAGTAAATTTTGAGCCCTGTTAAATATAGTGGAGATTTCCCAGTAAGAAATTTGTAAATGAACAGAAACGAATGAATTTGTCAACATGATTAAAGAGAAGGCCGATTTAATAAAGAGTACAGACAGTGATGAGTATTAAATGGCGCTCCAGTAACAAAATTAATTAATTCATTTTCGTTTCGGCTTTGTCCCTTTATAATTAAGGGGTCACCGCAACGAAATGAACCACCAACTTATCCAGCACACGTTTTATGCAGCAGATGCCCTTCCAGTTGCAATCCATCACTAGGAAACATTCATACATACATATACATTACAGACAATTTTAGCTTACCCAATTCACCTATACCACATGTCTTTGGACTTGTGGGGGAAACCGAAGCACCTCAAGGAAACCCACGCGAGAGAACATGCAAACTCCACACAGAAATGCCAACTGACCCAGATGAGGCTCAAATCAGCGACCATCTTGCTGTGAGGTGACAGCACTACCTACTGTGCCATTGCGTCGCCTACAAAATGAATTGCTGCATGGTAAATAACATCCAGTTTGTGAAGGAGAGTTTCTGAAGCTGATCTGTAAATCAATGAAGCATTCTTCATATTATCTTTTGTTTTCAACAGAAGAAAGAAGCTCATAAGGATTTAATACAACATGTGGGAGAATAAATTAGGTAATTTTCATTTTTGCGTGAACTATAACACAAAAAATGTAAAGTGTGATTCAAAATATGGCTATAAACCTGTGAAAATAAATAAACGGGTCCTTCATGCCTATTTTCACTGAGTTTCCTTAGAGTACAGTAAATTTTAGAGCATTTCTCTCTGACCTGAGAAGAACAGCTGAATAGCCCACGCAATTATGTTTAATCATATCAATAAGCTCCTATTAGTAGATAAATACAGACTCCAAAAAGCAAATAAACAGCTGTTTATTTGGCAAACTGCTGCGATTTAAAAAGCCACAGCCAAGAATCGATAGAAACGGTGTCTTGGTTGTGAGCATTCACAATAAAATGCTCAAAACAAAGCAATGGCCTCCATTAACTGTTATATGCTGGAGGCATTGAGCGGAGCAATAATGATACATCACCTCTAACCTCCCCCAGACCTCCTGCGTAATGAGCTGTACGGGGAGTGGACTCGGGGCGGAGGGCCGGCAGAGCAGGGTGTGCGGCACCGGCAGCAACCATAACAAAGAAAGACAAATGAAGTGCTTGGAAAGATGAGAGTCTTCCTCTGCAAGCGGTCTGGACGCCACATAAACAAGTCTCTCCTAGTCTGTCTTACCACCTGCAAACGGTGCTGGCAGTTTGGGTTAAGTGGGCTGTGAATTGAGGATGAGATGTTTAATCAGTCAAACACACACACACAAAGCACGAGGGGGACAGTGATGAAGAGAAAGTTGATGTCAAAGTGCATCCGTCTGTTTCCTGGCATAATAGACAGACTCGCTGCCTAGGGACTGCCAATCAATTATTTCTCCTTTAAACAAAGTTAATTAGAGCACATTGAGACTTATGGATCTCTGTTATCATTGGCGTATAGTCTGTTATTGTGAAACAGCTGGACGAGACATGGACGTGGGGCCTGACCTATCTATTGCAGAAATGGGTGTAGCACATTGATCTGGTTGTGGTGGACTAATGGATTTCATATCCAAACATAGTGTTACATTAGTGCCACAGTCTGCTGACCTTGATATACGTGGCATCGTAAATGGCAGTGACCGCACTGGATGCTCTAGTGGTGCCAACATTTAGCTAAAGTTTATTCTAATTAGGCGAGAGCTAGTTCACACTATTTTTTAAAAGTCTGGGGTTAGTATGATTTTTAGCAAGATCTTTGTACTGTAAGTCATCTCT